ATCATATCTGCGATTGGTAACAGAATAGGAAGGCCAAAGAGATAAAAATTTGAAGCATTGGTTATTTATTCACCTTTGAAAGTTAATGAATTAATCAGCGCACTGAAGGCTTTTCTGATGACCCAGAGGAGAATCTAATTCTTAGATGAAGTACAGCACTTACGGTATAAAACTGTGTGCGTGTACATACCTGTGACACAGAGTGTACATACCTCACGCGGAGATGACGTAAGTCCCAGGCGCTGTCGGGTGTTCCTGCCCTGACTATTCTTTTGACTCCTTAATTGATGAGCTTGTCCACTGCCTCGCAACTCTTTGCTTTTAATTCCTCTGTCGACTCTGACCCTGGATTTATGCAAAAAAAACCCCAACAGGATTATCGGAATAGGACCACAGTATCAGATCCCTGGCTTAGTTTAGTGGGTCTCAATGTCTTGCCCCTGGAAATGGCCAGGACTGAATACTTCAAAGAGAAAGAGCAAGTAACTCTATAATGGATGATTATAGGAACATAGAAGTATCTTTCAGACTCTCATTAGCTAGTAGTTAGCTTTTGCCCTGAAGCACAAAGGTTTACACATCTCCTGTAAAAGATTCTTCCTTGTGTTACGTCCTCATTGCCCATATAAATGCCTATAATCCTTTCTGGGGAATCTACCAAGCTTCCTGACTTCACAAAAATGAAATGGTACTATGATTTTGAAAAAGGAATAAGCAGTTTCTTATAAATAAAGTTACCAGGTAATGACTAACTGAGCTGTTAAATTCAGCTGATACATAACGAACACAAATAATTCCATTGAGATGTTACAATTCGGCAAAGCCTCTCTGCTTATTGCTGTTATAAGAACAGAGAGACTCTTGGCTCTTTGCAAAACATTGACAAATTAATCCTCACACCACCCCAAAGAGTAAGATTAAGCCACAATATAAACCCTAAAGTACAATTGGTAGAAAGGGGACATGGATAGGAGGGATGGGGTGGTTCTCAGGAAAGCTTGACCTGCAGGGTGTGTGGAACAAATTTCCATCTCCTCCAGGGCTGGTCCACCCATGAGGCAAGCTGAGGGCGCAACCTGCCCTCCAAGGAATGCATCGCCCACTGTTGCTGCCATGTGAAACACATAGGATGTACTGTATGTGAAACACATGAGATGTAAGTACAGTGGTGCCCCGCAAGACGAACGCCTCGCAAGACGGAAAACCCGCTAGACGAAAGGGTTTTCCGTTTTGGAGGCGCTTCACAAAACGAATTTCCCTATGGGCTTCCTTCGCAAGACGAAAGTCCATAGGGAAATCTCCGGGACAGCGGGGAAGCGCAGCGCGTCTTCCCCACTGTCCTCGGACCTCCTCCGAAGCCTGGAGGCGGGGCGGGAACACCTCCTCCCGCCGCCCGGCTTCGGAAGGCTGCACCGAAGCCGGGCGGCGGGGTGGGAACACCTCCTCCCGCCGCCCGGCTTCGGAAGGATGCTCCGAAGCCGGGCGGCGGGGCGGGAACACCTCCTCCCACCGCCCGGCTTCGGAAGGATGCTCCGAAGGATGCTCCCACCGCCAGGCTTCGGAGCAGCCTTCCGAAGCCTGGCGGGGGGGGGGGGAGAGGTTTTTTTAAAACCCCGGGACAGCGGAGGACTTCTCCGCTGTCCGGGGCGATTTTAAAATGCTGGCGGGCAGGAGCGAAGCCTCTGCTGCCGCCTGGCAGCATTTAAAAAAACCCAGGACAGCTGGTTTAAAATCGCCCCGGAGGGCTTTTGAAGGCAGGCGGGGGGAGCAAAGTCTTTGTCCCCCCTGCCTGCCTTCCCAGGGGCTTTTAAATCGCCCCGGACAGCGGAGAAGTCCTCCGCTGTCCCGGGGCGATCTTAAAATGGGTTTTTTAAAATGCTGGGGGTGGGAAGAAAAGCCCTTGTCCCCCCCCCAGCCTTCAGAAGAGGTCGGGGGACAGACTGTCCCCGGACCTGGTCTGAAGTCGGTTTCCATAGGAACGCATTAATTGATTTTCAATGCATTCCTATGGGAAACCGTGCTTCGCAAGACGAAAAACTCGCAAGAAGAAAAAACTTGCGGAACGAATTAATTTCGTCTTGCGAGGCACCACTGTATTGTCAGTATCTACCTCACCCCTTCCCTTCACCCTTTCCTACACCTCCTCATTTTTCGCTAACGTTAAACACCTGTTGAGCAATTAGTAATGAAAGAGTGTATTTATATCCAGATCCAAACAGGGTAACCTTGCTAAGTAAATCTTAAATCTTAAGCTTAAGCCAAGAAATAGTATTCTCTATAAAATGTAAGTACTGTATATTTGTATATTTTTTTGTAGTGTCTGGTTTCACGTATAATGGATATGTATTTTTGATTTAATTGAATATTTAGAAGTGCAATAAGTTGTTTCTAATAAGATTTGGTTTGGATTATTATTAGTGAATATCAATATACGTATCAAGGCTTTGAGATTAGACCACTGAAGAAGCCCGGAAAACTACCCTGGGAGTGTGCTCTCTGCAAGCCCCAGTAAAAGGGCCCCATCGGGGGCACACAGCGGCCTCTTGGTTGTTGTTGTTGTTGTTATTATTATTATTATTATTATTATTATTATTATTATTATTATTATCTATGTGTGGAGCCCAAACAGCAATATCTATGCACAAGGGGGAAGTTTCAGCAGGCACAGGGTAACTGCTAAGTTCCATAGTTTAGTAATAAACAATTCTTTTATTAGAGGTATTTTCTGTCTTTGCCAGTACTAAGCATGGAAAAGGCATTCTGCAAATATTGTGTACAAGTATTTTTCTTTGTTCCTTGGTGCTGCATCCTTTAAAATAAATTATTCTCAAAAAGCCATGTCCCCCAAGGAGTCGGGTGAGGACTGAGCATGCCCAGAAGATGCTGTCTCTGTTGGGGACAGGGAATGGACTTGACTAGGGAAGAAGAGGAAGAGGAGGAGGAGGAGGAGTTTGGATTTGATATCCTGCTTTATCACTACCCAAAGGAGTCTCAAAGTGGCTAACATTCTCCTTTCCCTTCCTCCCCCACAACAAACACTCTGTGAGGTGAGTGGGCTGAGAGACTTCAGAGAAGTGTGACTGGCCCAAGGTCACCCAGCAGCTGCATGTGGAGGAGCGGAGACGCGAACCCGGTACCCCAGATTACAAGTCTACCGCTCTTAACCACTACACCACACTGGCTCCTAGGACGATGGCAGAAGGGGAATATAGATATTTGTAGGGCAGACAGAACCATTTCATTTTCTAGACAAGTCACCAAGAATCTGTTTCCAAATATCCTTAGGAAGAGATGTGAGAGCTGCCCATATGTGGAGAAACCCAACATTTCCATGTAACTGAGACTGGGTACCAGTGTGTCCTCCCCGGCAATAAACTAGCCCAATAAACTCTGGGCATGATCTGTGTGCATTGAATGCTGACTGTTTGGGGAGGACTGTTTGGGGAGGATTTCAAATTGCCCATGAGCTCTGCACTCCTACTAGCATATTAGCAAAGCTCCTTCTTCCTGCCAATAATTGGCTGTCACAACATGTAGGTGACTAAGTAAGACCTTCAATAAAGTTTTTGGAATTTGAAACTAAAGTGTTTAAACCTCCACCTCCAGAAAGAAGGGCTTTAGGTGCATCCTTTTCCTAGACGATCCCACGCCACTGGGCCAGAGGTGATTTGTCACCTCTCACACACGGCAGTCAGAATTGTATTGCTCTATGCGCATGACCCATAACTTTGCAATATTGTTTTCTGGGCATGCTCAGAATAAATGTGTGTTTGTGTGTGCATGCTGTCAATAGCAGGATTCCAGGATGAGATGAATCTGTATTTGCCTAATGACAGGAAATGCCCACAATGATGTTGAACTTTCCATTCTTAAAGACAGGAATAAATTATTATCTTATGAGAATGGTCACCCAGTCACCCTTTTTATGGTTTACTACTGTATTTTGGAACATTGTTGGTCTTACCCTTCAATAACACCATTGTCGTCATCAATTGTCATCATGATCAACATCAACAACCGAGACAGAAATACTTGTAAGTGAGAAGGAACATAAGATAATCTAATATGCAGTTGATACCATTATGCTCTTTCCTAATCTAATATTAGACCTTCAAAATTTAATTAGCTATTGCTTAAGCAAATTTCTGGTTTTAAAATTAATTATGACAAAACAAGCTTTGACTATTCCTGTTCCTTGGTCTATTCAAATTAAATTAGGAGGTACTTTTTCTAAAGTCAGCTAAGAAATCTTTTCCCAGTCAGAGAGGAAGGGAAGTTGGGGTGTCTATATCCAAAACCTATTATGGGCAAGTGACATTTGTCTCATCCACAGATGTCATCTTTCCAAAACTTATTTATTAACATTTATTAACATCTGCCAACCTATTTCCCTTAGCTAGGTAATAGGTAAACTGGTGTATAATATGACTACTTCCAATGCAGCACAACTTTACTAATCCAAACGACCCCAACACCAATTATTAGCGATGCTGTCTATGTTAAGTTTGCTCTGATACGGAGCAACATGAGGGATTTCTAATTAATGCAAATAAGCCAGACTGAGCCTCTTGGGTTTGCTGATCAGAAGGTTGGTGGTTCGAATCCCCATGACGGGGTGAGCTCCCGTTGCTCGGTCCCTGCTTCTGCCAAACTAGCAGTTCAAAAGCACGTCAAAGTGCAAGTAGATAAATAGGTACCGCTCCAGTGGGAAGGTAAATGGTGTTTCCGTGTGCTGCTCTGGTTCGCCAGAAGCGGCTTAGTCATGCTGGCCACATGACCTGGAAGATGTACATCGGCTCCCTCGGCCAGTAAAGCAAGATGAGCGCCGCAACCCCAGAGTCGTCTGTGACTGGACTTAACTGTCAGGGGTCCTTTACCTTTACCTTTATTCTTATACTAGGCCAGGGTGTCTACTACTACACAGACACCCCAATAAATTAGCTAGTTTATTACATTTATACATCACTTTGCACATACAGAGGCATCTGAAGTGATTTACAGTAATAAAATGCAAAATACAGATTACAGGAGAAATTCAGTAAAACAATGCAAATATAAAATACTAAAAATGTTTGTTCAAATAAAAGCAATCTAAAGCAGCACAACACAGGAGAGGCACCAGCAGCTATTAAATGTCAGGCCACCAGGGCTGTTCAAATGCCCAGTGAATAAAAATGTATTTGCCTGGCGCTGAAGAGATAACACAGTTTCCTTGGGGAGCGTATCTCAGGCCATCTGCCGTCTGAAGCGGTTGTCCCTCTTTGCCTAATGGTTGGGCTGGTCCTGGTCCTATGCCTGTAATCAAGCGAGGAAAAACTGAAGATGTGGATTCTCCGATACATTCATGCTACTGATATTGTTCAACAAAACCCGTGTTCACAAAGTCCTAAGCCAGGCAGCAGCCATTTTGGATGTTTGTCACCGGTTTCAGTGCTCACAATCTCCTCTGTCATGGGATGTAGAGTACTTTCACTCATGTCAGCCCAAACAGCAGGCCTGGGGCCAGCCCAGTTTGTATATTTCACAGAATAACATCCTCAAAGCTGTTGCAGGATCTTTCACAACCTGGGTTGTGATGGTCCACGCTTTGGTGTGCATTCTCTTGGAGTATGGGCAAGATTTGCCTAAAGGAATAACATAAAAGTGACGCACTTTAACCCCATCAAACCTAACTAGGATGGAGACAAGCTCTGTAGAGCTGAGTATGCTTACAATTTTCTGTTGGGGGTGTTGAGGAGGTTCAGGGAGATATATCTATTATCATTTCTATCTCTCTGCTCAACGAACTTTGGCTTTATGAGCCATAGATTAGCAGGCAATGTCAAACTTAAGACTGTGACTCATGAAAAATGTAAATGTTTTTGAATTAATATCGCTGACCTGGCCATAAGTATTTTTATTAAACACACACACACACACACACACACGACTCCCCAATCTATCACTCTGTAAGGGGATTTATGCATACAATTCCCATTACTGTTAATGGGAAATAATCACATAAATCCTCTTCACATCAATAAGAGAATAAACCATTAAATCATTAAGCTTTAAATGACAATAAGAACCAAATTCTCCTCAGATTTTCATCTTTGAATTGTTGCTACAGTGATCAAAATGTGTTGCTGAAGCTGCTGCTTAAAATAACCTGTTACCTAAGGTTGCCAGCCAGATTGACTGAGGAATGAAGCTTCATAATATCCTGTAATTGTAGGAAGTTTAAGCTACTTTTTTTCTTCCAAAGAAATATGCATATGGAAACATGACGAGATATTGGGCTGTTATAAAAGGGAAACAGGTAAAACCAAAATCAAACCACATGCCAGTAAAATATTCCACAACAGATGGAAGACTGGGAGGGGGAGGTTTTTTTCATGCCTTCAAAATGATTGTAAGGCATAGCTGTCAACGTTTCCCTTTTTAAAAGGGAAATTCCCATATTCCAAATAGGATTCCTCGCAAGAAAAGGGAAAAGTTGACAGGTATATTGTAAGGGTGAACTACACTGGATCTCTTTTGGTAGTTTAAGCGTAGCTTGACAGCATTCTGAACGTTGTTATGAGGAAGCACTTTATTTATTTATTGCATTTTTATGCCACCTTTTCCTCCAAGTAACTGAATTTGGTGTACCTGGTTCTAGTTGGACATTTTTGTCACTGAACTAAGCAGGATGCAGAATGGTTTCGAACTGGATGAGAGACCCTGTGTTGAGATACCGCATTGCAAGGGGTTGGATTAAATGACCATTGAGTTCCCTTCCAACTCTACAATTCTATTATTCTATTGTTATACACACACACACACACACACACACACACACACATTTGTTGTTGTTGTTTAGTTGTTTAGTCGTGTCCGCGTCTTTGTGACCCCATAGACCAGAGCACACCAGGCACTCCTGTCTTCCACTGCCTCCCGCAGTTTGGTCAGACTCATGCTGGTAGCTTCGAGAACACTGTCCCACTATCTCGTCCTCTGTCGTCCCCTTCTCCTTGTGTCCTCCGTCTTTCCCAGCATCAGGGTCTTTTCCTGGGAGTCTTCTCTTCTCAGGAGGTGTCCAAAGTATTGGAGCCTCAGCTTCAGGATCTGTCCTTCCAGTGAGCACTCAGGGCTGATTTCCTTCAGAATTTAGCTGTTTTTAATACTGAACTTTAATTTTTTTATAACGCGGTGGTGGTGGTGATGATAATAACAGTAATAATAGACAATGCCTGAGACAGAATTTGGTGCTGGAGTCCGGCTTCCCTGGGCTGGCTACTGTCTGAACTGAGGTGATTCCAAGAAGCTGAAGAGAGGGCATGCTAAACTAACCTTGGAAGAAGGATTAACTTACATTCTTGAGTCCTCTTAGATGTTTTGCCAGAAAGGAGCTGGTTGGCAAGATGACTTTTAAAACATCTTTCAGCTAAATTAGAGATCCGAAGGCAACATTTAGCATGAAAGGGATATCATGTGGGTTTGTGAGCCTCCCTTGAAACACTGGTGCGAAAGATAATTAATACTTAGGTCTACCCTCATCCATAAATTTCATTGTCTTATCTGAATTGGCAGTGCAATTTTCATGGAACCGTTTCAAGCAACCACATGTGAACACAAGAAAACAGACGGGGAAATTATTCCTACAGCATGTTAGAATGACATGAAAGCATTTCATAGCAGGCCTCTTGGTGGGGGGAAAGGCTTGGAGCAGATTTCCAGCTGGGCCGAGTTTTGCCGAAGTCATCGCCATATGATATAGGTTTGACATAAATGTGACTCACATACTTACGAACAAGGACTGACTTTGACAGCCATGGAAGGTCAACACCTTCTAGATTTCATGCACAAAACAGGAAGCAGCCAAGATGTAGACTTTTCCACATGGCAGCCTTAGAGTTCTTCATTTGGTTTTATTATGAAGGCGGGGGTAGACTCTGATGTCTCTACAGTGGTACCTTGGTTCTCAAACGCCTTGGTACTCAAACAACTTGGAACCCAAACACTGCAAACCTGGAAGTAAGTCTTCTGGTTTGCGAATGTGCTCCGTTTTGAGTGTCACACTGAAGTCTGTCTGTTTTTGCTATTTATTTTGCGTTTTTGTTGCTGTTTTTTTTTTTTTTGTCACTGTGTGGAACCCAGTTCAGCTACTGATTGATTGTGTGACTGCAGCACATTGTTTATTGCTTTCCTTTTATGGATCAATGGTCTCGTTAGATGCTAAAATTCATGTTAAATTGCTGTTTTAGGGGTCTGGAACGGATTAATCTGTTTTGCATTACTTTCTATGGGAAATTGCACCTTGGTTTTGGAACGGACTGCCGGAATGGATTAAGTTTGAGAACCAAGGTACAACTGTATAGCCCTCCTTTCTGCCATTATAAACCCAGACCCTGACTTTCTAGGGGTTTTCTGCATTTCTACTAGACCCAAAATGTTTAAGCAACATGGACTAGAGTCACTTCTGGGGTCCCTCTATAGGGGCCCTGAGGTTTAAGCTTCATTCATTTCCTAGTAGATCCGCCCCTGTATACAGGTGGTGGCATTGTATCAGAGTGGAGGTGGTAATCTTGGTAGATATCTGCTGCTTGGATGGCCGGAATCTTTCAACATTCTTTGCTCTCTGAATTTAAGCTGGAAGAGAAGAGAGTTTTCACGATAAAAGTTTCTTTTCCTTTCTTTATTGGAGGCAGATGAGCAATGAGTGTTGGGGGGCGGTTGGCTACATCAGTTGAAGTGGATTTTATTTGGCCAGTCCACAAGTGAAATTATTTTTCCTTTTGGGGAGATGAGATCTGAAAGTTTGGGTTTTTTTGAGGCGGAGGAATGAACTGGAAGAGGAATTGTTTAGAGAAGATACATACCCCACCCTCAGTATGCGACCTGTGGTCAACTCACTTGTCTCTCAGCATCGCTAGGCACCTTCTGCTAAACAGGTGTTTAAACGAAACGATCTGGGGCTCAGACTCTTCCTGTGGTGGGACACAGTGGGTGGTCTTGGGCAAGTCATTTGTTTCCACCAAGTCCAACCTTCTGGTCCGACAATGGTCTGCAAAATGCCTCTGGGAAGTTTATGAGTAGGAGTCAGTGGCAGCAAAGAAATATGGGTGGGAAGACCCAGAAGGGGAAGATATAGTTGTGCCCCACATGTCTCTGAAAGGAAAATAACAGTAAGAGCTAATGACAGGAGCCCAGAAATGTAGGGCGGGGGAACAAACAAGTGTCTGGGGGGTGAGCTCCCTGTTTGGGGGAGCACTTGGCCCCACCCTCTCTCTCTCTCTCTTTTTTAAAAAAATATTTATTGAAATTTTCAGAAAAAATCCAGAAAAAAGAAAAAAAGAAAAAACAAAGAAAAATTAAAAAAACATTCACCGTTTACAATCCTTATTTTCAATAACATATTTCCGTGACTTCCCCACACCTCCCCTTCTTGTATTCCAATTCCAATTATTAGTTCAACAAGTTCTTGTCCCCAATTTTTGATCTTATTCTATTTAGTTCATTGTTATATTTAGTTCATTTTATATAACCAATTTTAACTTAAAAACATCAGTCTTTATACATCAGTACCCATTCTTAGAATCTTTTTCTAAGGTCGACCGCAATTCCCTTCCACGATTCCCCATTTTTATACTCCTAACAAAACAAAATAAAAAGAATCAAAATATAGTTATACACCCTTTGGATTCCCAAACCCCACCCCCCCTTTCCCGGTTTCGATCCCCAACGAATGTCCATCAGTCTATCTGCTATCAGCCTGGAGACCTCACGTCCGAGGCTCTTAATTCTCTCTCAGTTCCTCTCTGCCGGTTTTTTTGATAGTCCTTTATATCAAACACCAAATCTCGGAGAAGCTTGGCCCCACCCTCTCTCTGGTGCCACCCATGATAGGGGCAGGCAGTGTGGGAGGGCAGCTCTGCAGAGCTTCCCTCTGTGGTGCTGCTGCCACTTAAATGGATAGTATGGGGCTTTGGGCTTCAGAGGGGCACCAGTGTAGTCAACCTGGTATTCCTGTCCCTCCCCAAGCCCATCCTCGCTCTGCCCCTGCACCACTGCGGCAGCGGTGATGGCCCACAGCTGCCACATTGCACCAACCCCTCTGGTTTATGAGAGGTTCCAAGTGAATGATATTCAGTTGTAAAGGGACCCCTGACCATTAGGTCCAGTCGTGGCCGACTCTGGGGTTGCGGCGCTCCTCTCGCTTTATTGGCCGAGGGAACCGGCGCACAGCTTCCGGGTCATGTGGCCAGCATGACTAAGCTGCTTCTGGCGAACCAGAGCAGCGCACAGGTTCCTGGGCATATCAGCACCAGTTTCTG